CTTTAGAAAAGTAGAATGTCACCTAGGTTCTTCGGAAGCCTCTTATGTTTCAGAAAGAAAAGAACAGTGAATTTTAGAAATTGTACTTGAAACAAGCGAGAGTTTGATCTCTTTACTAGTCCTGAAATCAGAATCTTGCCCCTGCTTTTCAAGTACTTGCCTATGTATCGTTTTAAGTGTAATCTTTAGTTTCAGCCCCAAAGAAAGGCAAAAACCTTACTTTTGGTGGTTACTGTGCTTGTTGAAACAGAAAACAGAAAAATATTAGAACTTTTGAGAATATGGACTTAGAAAGCCTTAAACTTTGTTCAAGAAGAATCTCTGGAATACTTTCTAAACTTTCTTCTCAATTTGATGTCTGTTGTCTCTTCCAAAACCCAACACAAAAACTTCATCCCAGAAACTTTCTTGGGATGATCCCATTGAAGTCTAACTTCTTTTCTGTATTTTCCTAATGTTTTTCCACAGTGTAATACTAATTGATGTGTTGCTTGTTATTATGAATATTCAGTGTATATGTGGTCAGTGTAAATATGAGGCTTTTTCTTAATTCTTTGCCTTTTTCCTCTGTCTGGTCCCCACTTTATCAATATTAATAGCATTCTCAGGATGTATTAGGCCATTCAAAATGCCATGTAGTCAAAAGAAATTTCCTGCTCTTTCTTTGTCCCTCCTAGAAATCAACACAGTCTTAAAGCATAGACTGAGCCCCTTTCCCTTAACTGGTTTTTGTATTCTTGGGCCAGCTGCCTAAATTGAAAATCTGCAACTTGACACTAGCCCCACAGAAGTTTAATATTAATTGGCTTTCCACCAATCACTGTTTTGGAACATCATGGAAAGTATTAAATTTTTACCTATGTAATAATTTTATTTCAAAGAAGATAATTTTCATTTTATTTATTTTTTTTAGTTTTAGAGGTAATATGTAGGAGTAAATATCACATAGCAAATGCTATAGGAATAGAAACATTGCTGTTATTTTTTTTTTAATTCCAATATAGTTAACATATAGTGTTATATTAGTTTTGGTGTACAATATAGTGATTCAGGGATTCTGTACATTACCCAGTGCTCATCATGATAAATGCACTTTTAATCCCCTTCACCTATTTCACCCATCCCCATCCCCACCTCCCCTCTGTTATTTCCTATTACTTATGAATTTTTCAGATTGTTCTAGAATTTTGTTCTAGAGTAAGATATTTGTTACTTTTTTACTTCGTTTGCCATTTTTTCCATAATTTAGCTTAACACATCCTGCCCTGTACCTCTGTCTCTACAAACCTCAATATTAAAGAATGGTTTTTTGGGGGGGAATCCATTAATACTAGGATAATTTTAAGTCTCTCCAGCTTGTAGCATTGAGGTCCTTAATGCTGTCCTCACTCTTGCTGCTTTCTGAATTAGTAATTAACTGCCATGAATTGTACACATGTGCAGGCATCTGAAGACTTTTTTCAGGTACTTTATGTTCTGCTGTCTGTGGCCTCCAAGAGAGATACTTTTCATGCTTTGTTAATGACTAAGCCAAGATAAATAGATATTCTTGGGCGGTGAGCAGCTGAACCTTTTTGACAGTTTTGACTCCTTTCTTTACTGTATTTGCATAGTTTGTTCCCTTCTTATTGTAGATCACGGTGAACTGATTCTTAACCCAGTCCCATTGGTGTGGGCAGTCAGGAGACTGGTGTCTGGAGCATGTGCATGCAGTGTGCCCTTCCTATGTCACGGCTAAAAGTTCAGCTCTCTTATTTTTATGGTCCCCAGGTATGGGCACTTTATGGTATTTTTCTTCCCTCGTACTATTCCTGTAGTGTGATCGTCATGATCTTCATGTTAAATTGGTTTTCACCTTGTTCAACAGATATTTAGTTACTATGTGCTAAGGAAGGTTATGGTTATTGTTCTACTTTTGAGAGAACATGATCTTATGTTTTATGTTTTCTCTGTCCTTCCTTAACAGTAGGGGATCCCCAAACTTGTGGCTGAGAGCTACTTTGTTCCTCCTTAGAAGCTTCACAGATGGGAAGCTATAGCTGCCGCATGCCCATCCCAGCTAGTGAGGGTGAGGGGCCCAGCATGGCTGAAAGTGGTGGCCTCCTCATCATCTGTGGGCATGGAGGGAGGGATACCTGTTGCTGTCTTCCTGCATCTTGCTCCTGCCTTATGGGGCCAGCAGCCTTTTCTTTTTCCCATCAGGCACCAAAAAGGGGAATGGGACCCCACTCAGGGAACACCTGAAGGAAATGAAATGCTTTCCAGTCACACTGCCGTTGGCATTTATGGCGAATGCTCTTAATAAGCTAGGAGCTATTTGGCCTGCCCTTCTGTCCATTTTCTTCCTTTCCTTCATTTTTTTTTTCTTTCCTCCCATCATATGGGCTGGGCTGATTTTAGATCCCGTGAGGATTAAATGGCTGTCAGTCAGCATGTGTGACAGGCAAGCATTTTTATCCTATGTTAGAGGGGATCCACCTCAGCATCCTTGACTGATTGAAGTTGCCCAGGCTGATAGTCACAGTGGAAGGGAAGGTGGAAACCTTAGAATCCTCCCCATCCTTCTGGAAGGATTGGTCTGAAAGAGGTTGGAGGAAGTGTGTGGGAGGAAAGAATTTCATAAACTTCTGGGCCTGATCCATGGCCAACTCTCACTTAAGAGTAAAAGAAAAAAGTAAATGAATCATTCCAATGACGAATTTATGAAATGATCAGTATGTGTATCTATGCCAATAAGCTTGCTTGGCCTTGATGGAGGGAAGTAGTGAAATTACTTATTTTCACAGTATCATTTCCTTTTCCATTTTCCTTCCTTTTAAATCACTGCTTTAATACCTCTCTGGGTTTGGAGGTGCTTTAGAATTTCAGACAAGTGCCTTGATATTTCCAGCAGAGCACAGTGCCCACTGTCCAGGAAGAAATGAGGACAGAGAGAGGAGGCAATCAGGGATGACAAAGTGAAGGTTAAATGAGGGAGAAACATCTTCTGGCCCATCCCTAAACTTTACCCTCAACATGTTCAAGCCTGTTTGGTCTCATGTGAAGTATTCTCACATGGAGAAGCAGTGGTAAAACTCATCTTCTTCAAGAGCCTTTGTTGGAAGATGTAATGATTGACTCAGAGCTGGAAAAAAAATATATGTGTATATGAATTTAGCAGGAATTTTTTTTTTCTGACCTCTCATAATACTAGGAGGCAGGGAGGGGAATTTCATCTCTTGGGTCTTAGTGACAGACAGCTGATTGCACTCTAAACTGGTTTAAGCAGGAAGGTGCTTGTTAAGAGATAGCTGAGAGCTTATGGTCTCCTCAGAAGAGCTGGAGAAACAGGCTTTCAGCTGAAGTTAAAGGAACAATACTTAGACCACATCACACAACTGGTGAGATCTGCTGCCACGTCTGCCCCCAGAACCACCTGCTTCTACTGCCACCTGCACCTGCCAAGCAGGTGCTCTTTACCCATCTGACTCGTCCCGTGTCCAGTTTCCAAATCCACCTCAAGTAGGTGTGTCATATGATGAAACCAGGTCCTGAGTCTACACCCTAATAGCAAAGGAGGTTGAAAAATATAGGTTACATGGATTCTGTATTGGAAAAGTAGGATTCACAATGTCGGGAAGTATCAAAATGTGGAGGTCTAGAAGGGTTTGGGGCAGCCACAAATTTAGATGTTACTTACAAGAGTACATTAGTAAATACAACATAGAAAAGCCTCATGATATGAATTAACAATAAAATTTTAATGATCAACTGCAAAAAATTCAAATAATCCTAGCAGACGTTTTATGACTATTTGCTGAGGGACTTGTGGTAGTCTATATATTTCTCCTTCATTTACCCTCTTAGGTGGTTATTTTTTCAGTGTTGATGTGTTTCTTCCCCTGCTTTATTATCCATGACATGGTGGCAAGATCCTGTGAGATTAGGCTATCAAAGGAGGAGGGGTTTAAAAATGGTTCATCTAAGTCCTCACAGAACCATATTCTTTTGCAAAGGTTGCTGAGATTTCTAGATTTTCTATTTTTACATGACATTGAAGACCTTTGGAACTGTACTTTAAATCCCTCTGAAGAAGAAACAACCAGTTTTTTTTTAAAGATTTAATTAACTAATTAATGTATTTATTTGCGAGAGATAGAGCACAAGCAGGGGGAGGGGCAGAGAGACAAGTAGACTCCCTGCTGAGCAGGGAGCCCAAGGCAGGGCTCAATCTGAGGACCCTGAGACCATGACCTGAGAAATCAGACACTTAACTGACTGAGCCACCCAGGTGTCCCAAAACAACCAGGTTTATAATAAAAATTAAATTTAGCCTGAGTTTTTACAGCATGAATTTACACAGACATTTTTTTATAGATTTTTATGGAGACCTATATGAACTTTTTTTTTTTCAAATTGGGCCATTCTTTTTAAAAAATGTAACAGTTTGGTCTACAAACTTTTACTCTTTTGAAAAGCAAGCAAAATAAATCAAAATATTTTGAATGTGTAAAGTTCCTCTTAATACATCAGGGAAATTATGATTTTTCAATTACTAAAATTTGATATAGAAAACTCTGTAATATAATGTTGTAATTTTTAGTCATCATGTTAAGGTTTTTAGTGCTTCCTTTTTGGCCACTCAGGATCTTAAGTGAAATAGATTTTTAAAAATGTTGAATGTGTAAACAAGCATTGGAAATGATAGTTTTGGAAACTTGTTGACCCTTACTGGGAAGCACTCAATTATTTCACTTTTTTGATAAACCGTATCTAAACCTACAAGCTGTTTGCAAGCCAGAGCATGAATATTTGTATGTGTGGTCACGAAAATAACCAGGAACCTTAATTAAAGAGTTTTTCCCTGGTTCCTTGGCAACAAAAGATGAGTGAAAAACTTCTCCTTTTTACTTTTTATTTTTTGACCTGAGTAAATAGTTCCTTTAACTAGTTTTCTCCACTAAGTATCATCTTTTTACTTTATTTTAATTTTATTTTATTTTACTATTTTTATTCTACAGGGGGTTAAATACCTGTGCATTCCAGCAGCAGATTCACCATCTCAGAACCTGTAAGTTGTTTTTTTTCCTATATTTTTTGGAGATATTAAAAATGTACAAAGGGCAGTAAAGTCAAATAACTAAAGGGCCATGAAGTCATCAGAGCCATGGGATGCCAAGCACAGAGGTCTGTGCGGCCAAGTTAGGCAGAACTGTAGCTGGAGGCATGCTGTTTGTTTGCCAGTCCTTCAACTATACAACACTGACTGATGGGATGTCTACAAGAAGAGCCTCATTTTTAAAAAGGATGCCTCAAACCAAACTTTTAGCATGTTTATCCTCTCTCTGGAAGCAAATGGGTTTTGCTTCCCAAAGATTTAAAGAAGCTAATGGGTTTTGTCTAAGATAGCACTGTCCAGTAGAAATAGAATATGGACCACAAATGTAAGCCATGAAGGTAATTTTAAATTTTCTAGGAGCCAAATTAAAAAGAGTAAAAAAGGAATCGGTGACAATAATTTAATAATGCTTTATTTAACCCAGTATATCCAAAATACTGTCATTTCAACATGTGCCCAATATAAAACAAAATTGAGATTTTTTTTACATCCTTTTTTTTTTCATACTACAAAATCTGTAGTTTTTCATCCTACAAAATCTGTAGTTTTTTTTGTACTTACAGCACATCTCAGTTTGGACCAGTTTCCTTTTAAGTGCTCAGCAGCTGCACATGGCTAGTGGCCACAAAACAGGACAGCATACTTCTAAAACCTGTTTTGAGTTGAATGAATAGGTCTTTCTGGCTTAGGAAAGTTCAGGCCTCTATTTCCTCACAGCTGAATACATCATTGATATCCTTATAAAGAGAAATTCATAATTGTTACCATTTCCAGAACACAGCAATTGTATGGAGTTAGGTTAGGGGTTAGGCTTCGGCAGAATGGGGGACGGGGCTTTGGAGACCCACAGCAGTCGCAGCTTTAACATTCACACTGTTTGGTGTCCAGCAGTGACCGAGAAAGACCACGAAATGGAGTAAAGTTTTACTGAAGCGTGGATTTGAACCTTGCGGGCTGAGAGGCTGGAGCAGAAAGTACTGAGCCATTCAGTGCATCCAGTAGACACCAGCCTCTGCTTCTCAGGCTGGCCTAGTGCTTACATTGCATGTCAGACATAACAACCCTGCTAGAATTATACGTTACTGCATTTTATTAGGAAAGTTGTAAGCTATGGTGGTGTTTGTAAATTTCGGAGTCTGTAGACCTATTAGGATTCATCCTTCATGATTCTTAAGCTCTACTGCCTACAAATCCTACATATTGGAATGACACACCATGTAATTTTAAGTTTACTATCTTCGTCCCATGGAATACTGGAACATCAGCCTATCTTGATATTTCATTGCTGGAGAGCAGTGAAATCACAGATTATGCAATAATTTTGAGAGATCTACCTGTTTGAAAAAAAAATGGGGCTAGAGTCAGATGGACTGATGTGGGGAAGATTGTGTGGTGGAGTGTAGGATAGGGGACAGGTGGTAGAGAGTTATACCAGGAAGGGTGATTGGAAGCAGGGACAGACATGTTCTATGCAAGGCCTGTTTTCACACTGACTCTCTGTATTTCACAGAAAAAGTCAATCTTTAAGATTGAGGATGGTGGAGGAAAGATTTTACTAGGATCACTAGGAAAACAGTAGTAGCCTGGGTCCAGGAGGAGAAGAAGCAGCAGAGAACTTCCTTGGTTACTAGTCGTGTAAAGAAACAGAAGTGGTTGGAAGGGCATGGTGTATACGGAAGGAAGTGAGCCACTGCCTTTCTCTGGAGACCACAGCAATCTTCTGCCCATGTTTTGGTGGCTATTTTAGAACGGTTGCTTTGCTCTTATCTCAAACTGAGATTCTAACATACTGTTGAACTTGTCAATACCTGATTGGCAGTGACTCTTTAGAGGAATCCGATTGTCACACATTCTGGGCATTTGTTGTCAGAGAAGGCACTTGATTGCCCCCAGGACTTTTCAGCTTTGCTAGGAGCCAAGCACTGTGTTTGATGTCCAGGACCATGACTGGCTTACCAAATGAAGATTGAGCATTGAGCAGCCCTGTACTACATAAACAAATAAGCAGTAGACCTTGATGTTAGGTATCTTAACTTTAAAACTAGTTGCATCTACCTTGGACAAGTCATTTAAACCCATCTGGGCTTCAGTTCCCTCATTTGAAAAATGCATATATATGAAAGTGTTCTCTATGAACTCTAAGCACTTTTGAAAATAAGAGTATACTTTTACTCTCTTCAAGGTGTGTTAATTTATCTTGAGAGTTACAAAAGAAGGTAGTTGAAATAACAAGTTTCGGTGCTCAGGAGGCCACTTCAGTGGAAGATTTGGAAGATTTCCTTACATGGAAAGGCCAGAGTGACAGAAAATGTTTCTCTGAGTTGCAGTGTTTCATGGGTCAGTTCAGATCTTCTGGCAAAACCAGCCCAAACACAGGCACCTTGGGTCCAGAGGACTAGCCCGTAAGATTTGAATTTGTTCTCTCCCATCCAAATATGTGCAGAGGTCTTGTTAAGATGTGTGATTTGCCTTTTTAGACCTTTCCTCACATCTTGGTAAAAGTGTAGGATAGGATTCCAATAGGTAGTTATTACAGCACCCAAGTGTGAGGCTAATGACAGAGAGAACCTGAGGAGGATGCACCACTGCTGCTATTTTGAGTGAAGTCCTACAGCAATACAACCTCTGTTTCAGTTGGAAAATAAAGTCAAGACCGTAACTCCCGTTGGGAGTTAAGTTCATAGGCACTCATGTGATTCTTTGGGGAAACTTTTAGTTTTAATCCATTAGTAATAGCAAGTCTTACGCATAAGTAAGGATTTGGGCACATCAATGTCCATGATTTTGTAAATATTTCTTGCTCTACTGAAGTTACATGGAAATTGTGGAGTTAAATTTGGAATATGAGTATACTTTGTATGTTAAGAGACAGCCTCTGAAATAGCTTGAGTTTCTCTTTACCTGTTACGAATGTTTTATTGGAAGCATAACATGCCTTTTAACAGTGAGCATGCTTTCATGATATAATTAGACTATTAACCACTGGCAAGTGGAACACTTGATTCTGTTTATATGATCCATCTCACTTCAGGTAGCCTGTGGTTATTACTCAGCAAATATTAGGAACATATAGGTTGGCAGTGAACCTTCACTTTCTATACCATCAACCAATGTAGGTGGTCAGGAGACAAATACTCTTAATGCTCTGGTTAACAAAAGCAAGAGAAATCATGTCTGTCACTGGAAAATATGCCCTGGGTACCTCAGACGAGTAGAACTAGTAGTTCTTTAGTCTAGCCACTTTTAATTACTGATGCCTGAGAAATCTTATATTTAATGACAAAATAAATTCTAGAAAACTGTATCCCCGTTGTAAACTTACAGACTTTTTAAAATTATTTCCGACTTTGGATATAATTTAAGTTTTATATCCTAAATCTCTCCCCACAAATCTTTATACCAACAGGAATTCTTGCCAATTATGCTTAGTAAGAGGTTTGTGACCTTTTGAAACTAACTGCTTTCACTTGGCATTCAGGGGCCGTAAACTGCCCAGAAAGGTCAATTTTCTGTCTTGGCTCTAATCCTCACAAACTCCCCCTCTGATCTTCCAGGAACTTAAAATGCAGAAACCTGGTTGAGATAACATTAACACATTAAAATTTTAGCTCGGTTCCTCCAACCACCTTGCCTTTCAAAGTTAGGAAAGGTGAAAGTTCAAGTTCTCGTAGTCATAATTACCCCACAGACCCAGGCTGTTGTGTTTTGCATGAATTGTCACAATTAGAGGCATCCTAGAGTTTATATCAAATGCACATGCTCCATGTTCTTTGGCCGATATGGAGCGAGCTAGTGAATTCAGGCTTTTGGAAATACTTGCTTTTGCTTTCTTTCTGTACTTTCATACGCAAGTCATTTTAACCTCATTTCTCTCATCTGTAAAATACCTATCTCACACAATTTTTGTAGTATTGGTTTAGATAAGTGAAAGTGTTTTTTATGAACTCTAAGCATTTCCAAAAAATAAGATTATATTTGCTGTCTATCCAAGTAAGGAGTATTAATGTATTTTGAGAGTGAATTACTGGATGTATAGTAGCTCATTTATTCATTCTTATTTTACTATTTATTAAATTGGTATTTTGTATTTAGACATTGTTAAGGGAATAATTACTTTTTTTTTTTTTATCTTCTTCTGTCAAGTCCAGGAGAGTTTGATCTGTGCTGTGGAGTTGGTAGCATTGCATCATTACAATAGAGCCTTTGTGACATTCAGTGGTTTGAGTGTCGAGCCGGTCTCTCAATTTCTTGAGGTTTTTGTGGGGAGAAGAGGTATTAGCAATACTGTGAGCTTATATTTAAAGTATCAGTAAAATTTCCTTGCCTTATTCTACCTCCTTATCTGTTTGTGTATGTTTTCTTTAGTTTAACTGATGTCTTCTATACATCCAGCTCTTTCTTTCTCTCACTTAACAATTTTCTTTAATTATTAAAAAGCAGTTTTGCAAGATCAAAATGATGTGGGCCCTTGGAGTGCTGTGGTCCTATTTCCAGACAGATGCATACTTACTTGAGCACTCATGTGCACATGCACACATGCTCACACGTGACTCCTGAGGACTTTGCAGGCCATAGAAATGAGAAATACTCAGAAAAGGAATATTGAGTTTTTCATAAGACTTCACTTATTGAACTTAACTATCTTTTAGTCTTAAACTGTGTCCTCCTCTCAACTATTCTTTGTGAAATGATGTTATAGTAGGTGGTAAAAAGGGTTTTGTTTTTAAAATGACCTTATGTGGCAAAATGAAAAGCACAATACACACCACATGTGTGTTTTAATTCCCCCCCATTAAAAAAAAATGTTTAAGTGCAGGAAATACAAAATGTGGGAAATCCTTGATATAAGTATGAGTAGTTGTATGTGTTCAGTGCCCGGTGCTGATAGACCAGCTCTGCCAGTGTCTGTCCTGCTGGAGAATGTTCCTTCCTGCTTGCTTCTGGCTGAGGCGAGAGCTTCACGGTGTTCCAGCTGAGGGGGTCCGCACACAGCCTGGGAGCCTCTGCCGATTCTGCCCCAGGAGAAACAGCTTTCTGATCTGAGCCCACCTTCCAGAGCCCAGATAGAACATTCCACCCACTTGCTTTTTGCCTTTTTGCTTTTTTTTTTTTTCTTTAAGCATTCCTTTTTTAGGAGGAATATCTAAGAGTGCTTGCCTTTCCTGTTTTTTTCCTCCTTTGCTTTCATATACAACATACATGCACACATGTGCACACATATACACATATGTACAGACATGTATATGTATATGGGAAGGAGAAGCATCCTGGGTCTCCTGTCAGTACAGCCTGGTCTGATACTGCTGACTTTGGAGTATGCCCAGCTACCACTTAAGGTAAGTGGCCAGATCCCTTAGGCTACTGCTCAGATAAGCAGAGTCCTCAGCAGGAGAGGGCTGCCTCTGATCCCGCAGTGGGGATCACAGCCTCCAAATCTTGCAGTCTTGGAATAAGAACTAGTTGTTCAGCCTCAAAAAATGAGCATCATGTGGTGTAGTTTTGTTAGATCCCATCCACCATCCTTTCTGTGCACTCTCCGAAGGTCAGGGAAACTTTGCTGGTCCTGTCTCTTGGCTTCCGGCCAGAGAGGGGAGGAGGCTTTTCAAGGAGGACGGCCAGCTCAGACTGAGGAAGGGGGACAGTGGCAGCTGCAGGGCTATTTGATGGGTCTCCTCTGAAGCACCCCTCTGCCCTCCCCAAGGTGTTTTCTTCAGATTGCTGGCAGCAGCAAGCACTATGAGGTAAGTTTGTGATGCACGTAGGTGGATGAGCCCCTCTGGCCTTCCTCCAACAGAACTTACTCACATGTCTTTGTATGGAAGTGAAGGTACAAAACGAAGAGCAAGAATAGGGAACCTGTGTTCATTGAAACAGCCTGTGGTGGGATGGTGCTTAGATGCTCGCTTCTGCTTCACATCAGAGAATTGGGCAACAGGAGCCAGAGTCTTGGGTATTTCCTGCTGTGGAGGAGGGAGTTTAATGGCCAGTGCTAGAGTTTATGTCATCAGCTTCCCTGGAAATAACCCACACTCCCTGCAACACACCAAAGCACTAGTAAATGTGCCTGCCTCCTGGCTTTACTTGGAAAAAGCATTTCTAGGAATGTCTACTTGGTGTGGCCTCGTGCCCAACTGTGTTTATGAGTCAGGTTTTGTGGTGGGGCTTTGAGCCATCCCTTCAGTGGCATCATTTACACTCCTGGGCTGGGCTGTGAGCTGTCCCCACACAGATGCCTGCCCTGGGGTTCCACAGCCCTTGCCCCAACATGGTGGTGGACAGGAGCCATCTGTGGGTTTGTCCTAGACTTAAGGTTGGCACAGTTAGAGCTGAAAGAGGAAAGGGCTGGCCGGGAGCAAAGTGGGGGCACCTCCTCATGACTTCCTTGGCTCCTTAGCTCTTTCATACACTCCCTCTGGGCTCTGGCAGGTCCGCAATGTTGCCCTGCCGACCCCACTCCCACCCCACTCTCTTATTCTGAGGACAGGCAGGACTGACTTTTGAACCCAGACACACTGGACAGTGTTTGAGCCCCAGGTTTCATTGTGCATGTGGTTTGGTGCATGCAGGTATAAAAGCCAGATCGAAGGAGACGTTCCCACTCGCAGGTTTCAGCAAAGGCATTCATTTGTTGTCATTTTGCAAAATCCTGGTGAGCTCCACAGCACTGACCGTGTTCCCCTAAAACATTAAGTCCTGCCCACTCAGAGGGGCACTGTTAACTCTCATGTCACTTGGGCCTTTGCAGTGTGTTCTGGAGCAGTCTGTGGTTTGTTCACTACTCAGGCAATTGTCATTCATTTTTAGATTTGTTTTTCCTTTTCTGGTTGCTGTGCTCTTCCCTGCCCGTCTTGTCACAGATGCAGCTCTGCTTGACTAGAAAGAGACCTATAAAGGACAGGCACGAGCATGGGCTGCAGGCGTGGAGAGGACTCTCCGAACCTTTGGATGCCCCGGCGCGGCTGACCTAGTGGACAAACGTGTACCCTCTGGCCACTGCTAGACTGCAGTCAGGGATGAGCTCTGAGTTCTGGGCAGCCTGGTCCTGGGATCTATAGTCAGACCCACCCTACCCTCTGGCATGTCTGCCATGTGCAGCGGCCAACACAGGAGGTCAGGCTGCCCCACGAAGCAGATGGCAGACAGGCAGCCTGTAACCACTCCTAGACCAGATGAGCTGGCCCAATGTTTTTGCTTTCTTTTGTTTTTTATTTTATTATTATTATTTTTTTTAGTAGGCTCCACACTGGGGTGTAGAGCCCAATATGGGGATTAAGCTCACGACCCTGAGATCAAGACCTGAGCTGAGATCAAGAGTTGGAGGCTTAACCAACTGGGCCACTCAGGTGCCACTTAGCTCAGTGTTTTTAAAATTGTTGAAGTGGTTGCTGTTATCAGGTGGATCATATTTGACTAAAGTAGCAGAGTATCTGATTGATAATGTTTTAAGTTACAGAGAAATTTACTTAAAGCCTTGACTAAGAAACCTGGTGGTGGGTGCTCCCAGGCCTGGGCATCAGTCCCTTGAGGTCTCCCTTTCCATCCTGCTGCCTCTTCACCCGAGGGGCTTTATCACCTGTGGTTACAGGGCCCCTGATGCAGCTATAAGTGTGACGCTAGCAGGAAGCCTGGCACAGAGGTAGATGACTTTCCTTTCATTAGGAAGGGAAAACTTTTCCAGAAGTCCCCACCTCACAACCTTTTCTTTACTTCTCCATGGCTGGAATCAGAGGGAAGGGGGGCAATTCTGACAAACTTTGCTGCCCCAACAAAATCAGCGCAACTCAAGATGCCTGCCACAGTTTCAATACTTCAAAATCAGAAGACTTCACTGCAGACTGTTTTTGCTTGAGAGACAGGAAGCTCCAATAGCACCGAGCCTTCTCTCCCACCTCCGGTGGGCCAGGCTTCTGCCAGTCACATCACAGTGCCCCCCCACCCCCCATCTCTTCACCCCTCTGTGCACTCGGCTTCACTGCCTGGCTTCCATGGGCTTCTGCCTTACAATCCTTTCTGAGATCTCTTTCCAGTACTGATACTTCAGATTTCAGGAATTATAGCAGGAATCTTATCTTGCCTGCTTTATACCAAGCCAGTGTTTGTGAGTATAGTTTCAATGCCCAGAGTCATTTTATAAGTTTATGTCTGGGAGCATTTGTGTCTGGGAAAGTTAGCAAAAGCATGTCTTGCAATGTTCTGGTAGTTACAGATTTTAGGTAAGAGTCTGGAGTCCTTGGGTTCGATCCCTAGGACTTTTCATCACGCCTTATGGTTGGTCATGGAATATGTACGTGTATGCATGTACGTGTAGTTTCTGTATTGTCTCTCCATCTTAATCTAGCTGGGCACCTATACTTAGGTTGCTGAGTTTCTTCTGTATTTAATACCTGGCTGAGTTTGTTATGCCATACCTGAATTTCTCATTATTACATTCATTTATCCTGTCATCCTTCATGAAATGATAGACCTAGCTTGTGTGGTCGGAAACTACATTTCATTCCTCCCTGGGTCTCCTGCGGCTTTGCAGAGTTCCAGTAAATAGTACTCAGTTGGTGTTTTAAAGAGGATGAGTTGATTCCATGGGCAACTTTAGATGTTTTGCTGCTCTGTAAGTCAATCAAAGGTAAAAGACCTCAGAAAGCATGTACTCTGTAGGTCGTCTTGGAGTATTTATAGTTAACCCACCAGCCAGTCCAGAACATGCTCTAAATGATGCTGGTACGTACGTGCAGGAGAAAGGGTGTTAAAAAGGCTAATGGTCAGAAGAAGTAAGGATCGTGGTTTCATTGTCATAAAGGATTTTAGAGTTTGCAAAGCATATTGGCATATATCACCTCATTCCACCCCATAAGACATTATTTCCACTTTATAAATGAAGTTAAGGGAAACTAAGTGGCTCTCCCAAAGTCACACAGCCAGTAAGTGGCTGAGCAGGGATTGAAGCTATATTTTTCCTTTCCCCACAGCCCTCTTGAGGACATGCCGACAGGATGTACCAAAGTCAAGGGAGACCAATATGGGAGAATATTATTAGGTTCTTCAGATCATCAAAAGTAAACTACCTCTTAGCACTAGGGAGCCTGCATGATATGGGCACCTTCTTCACCTGAATGGCTCTGAATGTGCACAGATGGTGTGTGGATTGTCAGTGTGGGGTCACTAGTATGCTCCTGAATATTCAGGGACCCCAAATGACCCCTGGGCTAGGCAGAAACCACCCCCCACACACATACCAGTCAATGGCAATGCTGTGTTTCAGGGATTCCTTGCAGAGAAATTCTGAAAATCCCAGAAGATGGGCAGCCCTCCCCAGGCCTCAGCATTGTGTGTGACAGATTCTAAAGCTGAGCCAGCTCCAGCCTCAGACAGGGTGACCAGGGTTTTGAAGCTGTGGGACTCTGAGACCTTTTCAAGAAACCTCAAGCGGATTTTTCTTTTCATCATGTGTTGAGTAAAGTAGAGAGATGTCACTTCTCTCTTTTTTCTCCCCCCACAGGACAAGACATTTCAAAGAAAGTATTAAATTCATTCACGAGTGCCGACTCAGGGGTGAGGGCTGTCTTGTACACTGGTATGTATGCCTCTGCCGAATCATAGCTTAGTATTTCTACTCAGCCTGATTTCTCTCAAGGGTTTTTCTGTGTGTGATTATTTCAACTCCTAATAGTTCTGTCTGCCCTCTGAATCTCGAATACACACCCCATCTGACCCCTGCCATTTGTTAGTCATCGTTTGTTTTTGATGAAAGAGAACCCTATGATTTTTTTTTTTTTCATTTTCACTTAGGATTTTCATTTTCACAGTTAGGATTTCTGTAGGGACTGTCAAGGCTACGGAACCACAGGAGCCTCTTTTCTAGCCCATGTCTATTATTGCCTTGGAATAGCCTCCTGTGGAGGGTACAGATTTTGTGGGCTCATCCCTGAAACCTCAGTGCCCTTTCAAAACACTGTTTCTTTCTGGAGAGTTTTGATCACATATGTGGTGTTTAGCATTGCATTAGTGTAACACCAGAATGACCATTTCTTCTCCATTTGCAGATGGGGGCTTTTGTGTGTGTTTAGCTTAGTACTTTGCTTTGAAAAGATCTGAATAGGATCTTAGAATTAAACAGTTTATATACAGCTCTCCACCTCTGTTCAGCTATACTTCATATGGATATGAATACATATACATAAGTACACCCTGCAAAAAAAAAAGCTGTTATAATACACATAACCCAAGGACAATGCACATAAAGTTCTTAGCAGTGTACCTGGCACATGGTAAGCTCTCGGGGAATGTTAGCTCTCATATTTTATTTTTTTAAATTTTTATTTTATTTTTAAGTGAAATATAGTTGGCATTAGTTTTAGGTGTACAATATAGTGATTTGACAATTATATACATTATGAAATACTCATTACCATTAGTACTCATACTCATCACATAACTAATATGTTAAAGGAACCAGCAGCCAACATTCTGGAGCCAGAACTCTGCTGTTCATTAAAGTGCAAGCCGAGCATGTTCCCTCTCTATATTGAATAAGACTCCATATTGAGTATTACTCAGCCGCAAAAAAAAAAAAAAAAGTTCTTGCCATTTACAGCAACATGGAGAGATCAAAAGGTATTATGCTAAGTGAAATACATCAGAGAAAGCAAATACCATATGATTTCACTTCTATATGGAACCTGAAAAACAAAACACATGAAAAAAACCCAAAAAACCAAAAGGCAGAACCAGACCTATAAGTACAGAGGACAAACTGATGGATGCCAGAGGGGAGGGAGTGAGAGAATGGGCAGAATGGATGAAGGGTAGTGGGAGAGGTAGGCTTCCAGTTATGGAATGAAAAAGTCATGGGAATAAAAGGCACAGCACAGGGAATACAGTCAATGGTATAATTGTGTTGTACGGTGACAGACGGCAGTTACACTTACGGTGAGCACAGCCTAATGTAAAACTTGTAGTATCACTATGTTGTATACCTGAAATTAACATTATATGTCAACTCTATTCAGATTTTTTTAAAAAGACAATATTATGTTGTGAAATACATTAAAAAAAAAAACCCCAAAACTTAACAGTCTTTTGAGTTTCCCCAAAGAAGTTGCTATTTCAGTGAAAGCTCTTTGGAAATGTAAAGTGATGTCTCCTGAGCTGTGTTGCTGCTGATGTTGGTGACAGAGGAGATCCAGTGCAGGATACCCAGAAGAGCCATTCATGAAAACTAATCTGTTCTAAGGGCCTGTAACCGATATCAGGAAAGCAGGGACAGTAGTTTGATTGCTTTAGAAAAAAATGTTTGGTTGTTTTATGCAGTTCTTGAAATTATGTGATTTATGGTTTTTTTTACTTTTAAAAAGAGTAAGACATGTACCAAATTGTAGATTTTATAATGTTCATCTACATTTGCTTTAAAGAATCTTGGGGGGTGCAGTTGGAGCCATATACGGGGAGTTCTGTAATCCTGTGCCTGGGCCTCTATGGCTTCTGGTGAATTAGAATCTCCAGGTTTGCTGCCAAAGAGGATGTATTTTTTAAAAGCTCTCTCAGTATTTCTGATATAAAAGCCTAAGGAAGAGCCACTACTTGAGAATGGTTGTCTTTTATTATTATTATTATTATTATTATCATCATCATTTGAATATGTGTAGCCCTGATACTCTAGGAATTTGTATTTCTATACAAATTTGTATTTCTATACGGTTATATAAATCTGAAGATAGGCCTTTCTAAAAATGAGAAATTTGCTGAACTTCCCCATCTTAAACCGTTGCTAGAACACTCTAAATCTGACGCAGCACAGCCTTCTGTGACACCTTAATTTGCATATGCATTTAAAATTGGTCCCCTTACTCAGCCTGCTACATATAATTAACCGTTATTGACCCCCACATCCCAGAGCACGTGGAATGTGCCCTCTCTTGTGCTCTGCTCAGTTATTTCAAGAACACAAACTGTTTCATAAGAGCTTCTGTATTTAATGGGCTTTCAGTTATAGATCTAGCCTTCATTTATCTAAGAAAACCAGACTTAAAAAAACAAAACAAAAAACCATGAAGCCTTCTAAACTGCTGTGGGTTGTAAATAGATTTATTGCATGGATCCCAGACCCTTCAAGTTCCCTTGATGTGCTTTCGTTAGTTATTTTTTCTGTCCGAGGAAATGGGGACTATCTGAAGAAGGGCTCAGGAGCATAGAGAATCATAAAACTGGCGTCCAAAGCCATAGCCAGTAGAAAATCTGTAAAAAAAAAAAAAATGAGGCTCACACATATACTGATACCTGAGATTCTAGTGTAATAAAGTAGAGAGAAGCTCCTATGTTTCTGAGTAATTTCATACTGGCTTGCTGTCCACTCATAATCCAAGGCAGGAGACTCTAAAATGAGATCCACAGAATCCCCTGCTCTCGATGAATCAGGAGATAGACTCATGGACTGAAAACCCTTGCCCCTGTGGGTTCTTTTGGCCCTTGCAGCCTGGCCGGCGTCTCCAGGAGTGTGACTCTGGTGATCGCATACATCATGACCGTCACCGACTTTGGCTGGGAGGATGCCCTGCACACTGTACGTGCAGGGAGGTCCTGTGCCAACCCCAACCTGGGCTTCCAGAGACAGCTCCAGGAGTTTGAGAAGCATGAAGTCCACCAGGTAACCGTGCTCAGGGGACTTTGGTGATGTGAGCAGCAGCCTCTGGGAAGATGCCTCAGTCTTCCTGTGCACACCTAGAATCAGGGAGGTTGGAGTTTGAAAGGCCCACAGAGGACAAGAAAACCCCACTTGTATCCCAATCAAAGTCGTCACTGGTCCCTTGTTCACCAGCTGCAGCTGTAGGACATTATCTTTTACCATCTTCAGACCCCATATTAACGTCTGTTTATTTCCCTTTGGGCCAAGTGCCATTTTCTTGGTTTGGCTTGCTTTCATGTCCTCAGGCTAAAACCTGGAAGAAACAGTTATTTCTCTTGCTGGACACTGGCTGGCCAACCACAGATCTATGATTGCCCAATCCCCATTTATTCCTTGGTTATATGTGGCAAAATCTGTAACATTAAGTAACAGGTGAAATCTATGTAGATGCAGGTGTGTGTGTGACATTTTGGTTTTTTTCCAACTTCTCCAGTACCGGCAGTGGCTGAAGGAAGAATATGGAGAGAGCCCTTTGCGGGATGCGGAAGAAGCCAAAAACATTCTGGGTAAATATAAAGAGCAAGGGCGTGTGGAGTCCCAGCCTGGTACAAGGCGGTGGAGCAACTTTCAGACCCTGCCTCCTTTGGCCTACAGCAGCTATACGACGGAGACCTAGTAACTGAGTGATCTGGTGCCTGCCTGTCCATCCCTTGTCTTCAGTGTATTTCTGCCAGGTGCCCTGGCGTGCTGGCTGCCCCCGTGGAGGACAGGAAAGGGAGGGTGGCAAAGGTGGATCCAGGCTCCTTCTCCATGAATCCACCAGCCCTGCCCCAGGCCCCTTCATCCTGCCTACTCCTGCCCTGCCTGAGCTTGGGGAGTCTGCTTGGCTGCCCCACACCGACTCACGCGTGCGCCTGTGTGCGTGTGTGCCCATGCGTGTGGATGTGTGAACTCTAAATGTTCATATTGCTGGAGCAGTCACAAAATCCATGCTTCCAGGCTTGGTATCACCACCTTTCCTTTTGTCCAAGACTCCACATGGAAATCATTTGAAGTTAACATCTTAAAAGCTGCTCAGCATAAAGCAGCCTATGGCTGGGAGCAGACGGAACCCAGAGTGGTCATGGTGAGGGCAGCAGGAGGCCAGACTCCCTCCTGAGGGTGGTTCGCCGGGGCCCTCAAAGGTGTGTGGGGGTGTGCTCTGAGCATTGCCTCGATCTTAATGAAAGTGCCCCAGGCTGTGGTTCCTACCACCTCAAGTCAAGACCCTCTTCTCAGCCTATCATGCCCCTGAGTTCTTGGTGTGTGTTCTCAGGGGCACTGACTCTGTTTCAGTTCCATGGGGAGCACAACCCCCTCAGCCCAAGCTATATGCCCAGAGCCCCTTCCTTTCTCCTCCTGTCCAGCTTCACTTACTCTCAACCTCTTGTTCTCTTGCTGTTAAAACTCTGCAAGGGCCTCTTTGCAACATCTGCATGCATCTTCAGGAATTGGGAAGAAAGAGCATTTATTAGGCACTGTAGCAAGTTTGCATTTAAAATACATTTTAAAATGCCTGTGCACTTATTAAGCACCCTTCGTGTATGCTGTGGATTTGATATGTGATCTCAGCTACCTCATTAAATGTTTTTTGAAAAGGTATTTTTGTTATTGTAATCAGCTCATAGTTGAAAATGTTTGGTCGTGATTGCTTTTGAAGCCAGAGGGCAAAGGCATCAGTATCATTGAGCTATTTAAAATTTCTGACTTGAGCTCCAGTAATGCTTTCTGGTGGGTAAAATTCCACATTCAGGCCAAGCCCAGCAGGCCTGGAGAGCGTCTGCAGTTTGCAGTGTGGGGCAGCAGGATCCTGGAATTCTGTGAGCAATTTCGTGGTCCAGTCTTTTATACCAGCTCAAATTGTTTAAGCACACAAAGCCACAAGAATGAAAAAGTATACTTGGCCTCTCCCTATAAAGATATTGCAGCCCAGTTTCTCCAAATTCCACCACCAACAGAGCCCCTGACTAAGAAGAGCAACTTTCCTGTGCATATAAAGGGTAATGTCACAGGTGAGCTGCTTTGGGGACCAGCGAAAACTCTACACACCCACACAGGCCCCAGATATACACCAGGAAAGAGAAGCATGGCCATGGAATTTTCTACCTACAGCTGAAACAATTTGTCTATAAAGTACATTTTTTTCCTTGAACCAAAAAGAAATGTGAATATACTCACAGAAAAAGTATGTAGGATATCAGCTGAAATGCTGAAATGTGTGTACATTTATGAACATCTGTATTCCTGTAGGTCTTGAAATGTTGTTTTAATTTTTGTTTCCAGTAATGTTCTTTCTCCACAGCCACTGCAGGAATTCTGAAGTACTGGGCCTTTCTCAGAAGACTGTAAGGTACCTGAAGTTTCTGAAATACCACAAAGCCACAGAGTTTAGGCTGGTGCTGCCAAAAAGAAAAGCAACCTAGAGTTTATTTTTAAGTATCCAGAAATGATTTGTAAATTTGGTTTTCATTTTAAACTGAATACATGTGTAATGATTTTCTATGTTGAGAACTAAAGATATTCTTCAGCAAGAGAAAATATTTTTACCTTAATGCCACTGCTACAGCAATTTCTTTAACCTTAACTTTGCGTTTATAAAGCAATCTCAAGAGCCCTGCTGCACTGTTTTGGTAACTGTTTAGTAATCATGATTGCTTTTCATGAGAATTGTGCTGTGTAAACTCTGCTCATGTGTTCTTAAATTCCCCAGCTTGAGAAATACTTGCTGTGTGCTCTACCCATGGTTTGTGTTCTCCATGGTGGACTTTACCAAAAGCTACACATTTTTGTTAAGAAAGGGCCACTGAGCATTGAACTCCACGTGCAGTGCACTCTTCCTTAGCTGAGGTGTGGATGTCATACATGTTCCTGCCGAGGAGGGTTGTGAAGCAGGATCGGAGCCTGCTCCTATAGCAGTAATTGCTGGTTTAATTGCAGAGGCCACTCTATCCTCCAGAAGGTAGTACAGAGGGCACTTAGGAGAAGTGAATTAATTTCACCATGAGAGAAAAATTGATCCTCAGTGTGAACAGAAAGAAACCCAGAAATTGGACTCATAGTTCTCTTGCACATGGCACCTCTGGAATTACTGCATTTATCACAAGGGTGTGCAGCCCAGGTGTTCCATGAACATTTGCTGCACATTGTTGAATGCAGTTTACTCTGATTCCATATTCAGCTTTTAATTTGAAGAACCACAGAGCAATTTAAGTCAGTTTCCTCAATTTTCCTTGTCTAAATCCAGGGGAGGAAGAAGGAGATTTAACGTTTCCCTCCAAGGGTAATTTGGGCCTGAAGTAAGGGCAGGTGGATACAGGAGCTAATATACGTGGACCCTTTAACTGTAGGTGGCAGGCTTCACCTATGTTCTGAGTTTCTGCTTCTAATGCCTGGAAGCTCCTGGCAAGGGCTCAGGGAAGGGGCTGGAATGAAGAGGACGCTTTGTACTGGTGGCAGCCCCTGCCGGGTGTGGGATGATATGCACTGATCAGTTTCAGTCATTAAAATGCTTATTCTGACTCAGCAAGCCTGCCTGGATGTAGCACAGGTAATCCAGTTTTGAGGAACCTCTGAGTATTCTCATGTGCCAGCCCTAAAAGCCCTGAGATGTCTCCACTTCCCACTTGTGAGGATGTGCCAGAGCCTTGTCTCTGTGGAAAACTCGGGAACAGTGGCCAAGACATAGCATAGAGCCTCAGGAAGACCTCCATGCTGGGTGTAGGACACGAGGCAGCAGAATTAGGGAAAAAGGTTTTCTGGTGATGGACCCAATCCAGGAGTCACCCATCCCTCAGGCTAACATCCTTTCCTGTCCCCTCTTCTTGCTATAGGACCAGATCTGGCACCAACAATAATCCTCTAATTGTCTGGTGTTCTGTGGGTTACAAACTATCACTGCAAAGCTTTATAAATCCACAGAGGGTATTATTTTATTCATTCGAGGCTCAAAGAGGCCAAACAATAAACCAAAAACAAAATGTTAGCTCTGATTTGCCTGAATTTTGAACTTTTGATCCCGAATCAGTGGGTTAAGAGAGGGAGGAGCTGAGCTGCCCCTGTGCTTTGAACTTAGAAGTTTGTGAGGCTCTAATAAGGGCCAAGGGAGAACCAACACCCCTGCAGCAAAGGTGTATGGCTGCAGAAGCCAGAACCTCTGTTTGGTTGCTTCCACACCCCTGTCTCCCTGGGGAGTTTGGGGCCCCATCAGTGGAGTTGGCAGTTAGGAAAATCGGCAATTACAGAGTGGGTCATAGGGACTAGTATAGGTGCTCCTGGTGCTATGTGTGGGGAAGGGGAAGAGAAACACCATTCCAGTGGGGTGAGGAAGGCAGTGTTCAGGGAAGGCATCTTGGGAAAAGTGATACCTAATTTGAAACTTCAAGCTTAAGTGCTAGAATTAGTTGGGGATAGCTGGAGGAAGGGGAGTCCAGGCAGAGACTCAGCATGTGTGTTAACTTGGTGGCATGAGGAAGCACAGTGCACTGGGGTGACCCCAGGTCACTCTGTATGACTAGAGCAAGAACCAAGGGGTGGGCATGATGGTAAGTGATACAGACAAAGCTGCACACACAAGCAAGGGCCCAGTCAGCCAGGTTGATACCATTGCTTAGTATCTGTATAGTACCATATCTTAGTATACAGTAACTGGTTTACTTCTTATACTAGCCCTTGGAGCTAATCAAGCTCAGAGGTCGTGCCCTGCCAACTTCCCACAGGGCTGATTCCTGAGCTTAGAGCCTCATAGGAAGCATGCATGCCATTATGCGGATGTAATGAGTAGGGGTGGGGGCTTGCTGAACTTGCTAGGGTAAGCAGGTACCATGGTTGGTTGGTGTGTAGGTGGATAATGGAGGGTCCACATTGGAGGCCGGTCGGGGGCAGCTGTTACGATCATCCAGGTGATTGAAGATGATGCCCTGAACAGGGTCATGGTGGTGGAGAAGAAGAGGGGCCAAGGAGGCAAATAGATTTGGGCTTGAGGGAGGTTGGGAAGGGAGAAGCAAATGCTCTTGGTACTGCATTGAATGTGGGGGACTATGGGTTTTGTGGCCTTGACACTCTGGAATCTTGCTTCCAACACAATGGTTCTTTGTATCAACATCCTCCTTTCCTTTGATGGTAGTGTATGGGCTCTGAAATGTCAAAGTTAGATTTAAGGGTACTGCCAGACCTAGGGCCCCCAAGGGCAATCATCCCAGCTCTGCAGATTAGGTCCTCAAGTTTATCTGTGCACCCAGGACAGACTCCCAGGAACTAGACTCATGACAATGTGGAATTCAGATGTCCAATTTTATAATTTATTGTGAAAGATAAAAAAGTATCTTTATGAAAACCAATTTTATTCCCTAGGCTATCTCTCTTTCATTATCAGGATTTTGGAGGAAGCCAAATTAGTCATTAGGCATTGTCCTGTGAGATGGACATGGAGCTAAGAGCCTTGGCAGGGGCAGGGGATAATACTGATCTGATATGCCCCATAATCAGATTGCTATTCCCATAACATACATAAGTGGTATTTCTACCAGGATCCTGCTTTGCTCCCTGAAGCCACCTTTCCAGGGTCTAGCAGACCATCCTGTTTATGTACAAAGGTGATCTTTGACTTAAATCACCTTTTTTAGAGCACCTTCATTAACCTTGGGTATCCTCATGTGTCTTCAATAGCATTTATGCTTTTCTGTGAGGATGGGTTCCCACTAGTGGCTTTTTTTCTTATTTATTGGGTGCTTGTTCTTTCTAGTTTCTGTCACAGTAGGGAACCCCACTTCCAACTTCTGGCGCTGTTTTGTGTTACTCATGCATAGAGACAACTTAGAAAATCTGGTGATTTGTGTGCGCGTGTGTGTGTGTGTTTGTGTGTGTGTGTGCACATACACCTGGGTCTTATATTTTTTAGTTTTGTTTTAGAGAAATTCTTAGCTTTCAGGGGAGTCACGTGTGCAACATTAAGGGTACCTCGAGCTTGGGTACCTTAGATGGCAGGTACCTGGGGCAACCAGGGAAATGTCAAAGCCCATATTACACAACCAGAGCCAGTCACAAAGGGCTGCTCTGCACACCAGTATCTAGTCATAAAAATAGGGAACATACTAAAAATCAAAACCCTGTGATCCCACACTAGATGACTCCTCCCATCCTGACCCTAAGTTATTAATAATTTTATTAAGAATGTGCTTTCAACATGCTTATATTTATATATGTACTTAACAAGAAATCACCAAGACTTCAGAGGGAAGTTCTTCTTCCCTTCCCTTTTTATTGCCCAGAGAAGGGGAGAAACTGAGAAGAAGGAGAAGAAGAAAAAAAAAAAATGGTGCCTTTGACTTGTCACCGGAGGCTTGAGCATGTCAGTTGTTCCCTTCTTGGATTTAGTAGGGTCTCCTTAGGCCTTAGGCTCATGCACTTGGATGCATGTAATGCACTGGCCACATTTCATCATGCAGAGAGATCTTGACACTTTACTCTTGTTTTCCTATCCACGCTATAGATCTTGAGACCTGTCACTGCAGTAACAGGACATAATTAGTTCAGCCAGTACCAAAATTAGTAATCAAAATTAGTATCTATTTTGTAGCTGAGGCTTAACCACCTAATAAGCATCT